AAGCAGAGGCGAGCCCGGCCCGCGGGCCTGCGGAAAACTCCGCCAAAGTCGCTGCTGGTTTTAGTTCAGGCTCTGGTGGCTTTGCTCAGAGCTGCTGGTCCTGCGGGAGGGCGGGCGCGCTGCCCCGCTCCCGGGCTGGTGCTTCCCTCTGCGTCCCTTCTCGCGTGGATGCTGCGTGTTCGTAGCAGTGACAAGAAGAATTAAGAGCTTGTCTGTAACGTGTCCGTGCTTCTATCCTGGCGTGACTGTAAGGTGACCTTCCTCGGGGGTGGGTGATGCAGCCGGGCGCCGACACCCGAGCAGCTTCTCCGCAGTGAGAGCCGCGGTGCCGGAGCAGCCGGGAGCTGGTGGGCTCCGTGCTGAGGGAGTGCCCTCCCTAAAGCCTGGGTCACGATTTCATCTACCTTTGGGACCAAAAAAAAAAGCAAAACCTGATCCAGCTTTCGGTTGGGATAATTTGCAACATTGTTTACAATAATAAATAATTAAACCAAAATTATACTTGAAAGCAGCATTGAAGAGATGTCCTTTGCAGTCCCCAGGCACTGTCTGGGTGGCCAGGCCAGGGCTGTGTCTGCAAAGCTCACTGGCAGGTCCCTGTGTACTCTTCCTCATGACCTGGGGTCCTCACACTGGTTCTGCCAGGGTCTCCCACTCCGGATGGCACACTGACCTTGGCAACTGGGAGACTATTCCACTGGCACCCTGCTTTTATGACTAGTTAATATAAGGAAACCAGACTCCTGAGCTTATCTGGTGTGGGTAATAATTTTTAATCTAAGTTTGTGAAGTGCTTTGAGATTTACAGACACAAAGGTCTGTGTGAGGAGCTGGTGTTTGTTATTGCAACACTTGAGTATGGTGACTTCCTCTACGCTGGAAAAGTTGCCTGGGCTGGTTTTCCTTCCCCTCCCACCTGTTCCTTCCCCATCCCTTCTGCTAGGTGGAGAGGAAACTTTAACTGTGGTGGAGGTTCTCTGCTTTCCATTTTGCCTCCAGACTAATCACTGGAGCTACACCTGGGAAAATATTATTAAACAGGCTGGCCTTTCTATTATCAAAACCAGCAACCTGCTTGGTAAATAAACAGCAGATTGAAAGCTCTGCCGTGGAAAGGACTGAGCAGATGACTACAGCAACATTAGAACATCTTTTCCATTCTAGGCTGGTGTTGTATCAGTGAGCCTGTGGGCAGGCTCAGCTCTTGTGCCAGCTTCCCACAACACAGAGATGGGTTCTTCCAGCAGGCCTGAGCTTCAGGTTGATACAGCAGCATAGTGAACATTGTAACTCAATTATTTTACCTGGTTTAACTTCAGGTCCTGTATAGCTGCTCAGTGCCCCCTCCCACTGTGGAGGGCTTCTTGGGCTGTAGTTGAACAGGCTGATGTTCTCCTCAACTGGCTGTGTGTGCCCCAACTGGGCACTGCTATGGCAGGACACAGCTGCTTGGCAGTGCGGGGGAATGTGCTGGATGCTCAGAGCTGCCCAGGAAGCCCTGTCTCTGTTAAAAGTTTATCACTAGGGCTGCTTTGATTCTCCAGCTGCATGGAGCAGCTTCTGTAAGAACCCAACCAAGTGCAGCAAGATGGTGTATCCATGCCCATCAACTGCAAAGTGGCAGAGGAACAGAGGAAGATATCCCTGTCTGTGTTTTGGGGGAAGGAGGGGCTCACAGGATGTCACCCTGGCTCTGCTTTCTGGTCCAGAGTGCGTCAGAGGTGATTTGGATGCAGATCATGGCAAGATGGCAGAGGCTGGGGCCAAGGGATCCTCCTGGCACATCCAGGGGTGCAGTGAGCCAGTGGGACAGTGATTCTGTCCGCTCTTCCTTGCTAACCTCCATCAGTGGATGGGCAGAAGTGCTTCTGAAGAAGTCCCTACTCAGAGTCAGCTTCCAGCATCCTAGAAGCTCTCATCAGCCTGGCTGTGCTGGGACAGCCCACAGGTCACTGTTGGACACCAACCATGGTCTCTGGGGAGCCAGCAGCATCCAGGGACAAGGATGGTGAGGCTGATACTGGGCAGAGAAATCACCATGATGGCTTTCCTACCACTTGTGCCTTGGTGGCCTGTCACAGCAGCATCCGAGGGTCTTGGTGTTGGAGGTCTTTACCCTTGTGGGGATCTGTGAGCTGAGATCTGGGGAAGTTAAAGCAGATCAGAAAGTGCAGGAGGTCAGTGGTGGCCCTGGGCTCTGCTTCCTCCCCAGTGCAGCACTTGCCTGTTCTTCTGGACCTGGAGACCTGGTGGCCCCAGCAGGAGGGAGGGGATGGTTTGTAGGTTATTGTCTGTAGGTTATTGTAGCTGTTATTGTCGGGGCCCTTGCCAAGGACAGGAATGTAAATGCATAAAAGTGACCATGAGGTGTCTGCTCATTCCTGGGCACTTGCTCTGGCTGGGGAATGCTCGGCTTATGAGGGGCTCCGGAGGAGCCATCCCACATCTCATGGCAGGATCTCTTCCACGCCTGGTGAGCTAGCCCTGCTCTTTGCCTAAGAAGAACCAATCTCAGCTCATTAGCAGGGGTCCTGTTTGAGCCACTACGTTTTCAGCTCAGGTGCACAGAATTCAGTTGTTTGACCAAGGAGCACCTTCTTGTCACAGATTCAGCTCAGCTCAACCTGGCACTTCCAAGGAACAGCAGCAAAAAAGCTTTTTTAACATGTTTCTGCCCTGCATTTCTTCCCAGAGTGCTTCTGTCTTTGCTTTGGGATTCTGCATATCAAAGTTACCCTTGGTTTTGGGGCCATTTCTCAGCTTCCCAAGCAGGATGTGCTACAGTTCTGCAAGGAGAACATGTGTGTGGTTGCACCAGTCTTGCTGGGTTCCTCCCAGGTGGATATGGAAACCAAAGGCTGTTGGCAAAGTAGATGAATGGGTTATATCAAAGGCTTTGTGTTCGTCGATGTTCTAGTGTCCTCTCTACGCCACTTGCTGGTAGCAGAAGCAGGAATACCATGATGGACCAGAAGGAAGATTTGTCCCATGGCTTCTTTCCCCAGTGACACAGTGTGACAGGCTGAGCGAGGTAGCGCTGCCTGCTGCCCCCTGAGCTAAGTTCAGCTTCCATTGCAGAACAGGCACAGTCGTGGCAGCACGGCCCCAGTATGGTGCAGCTCTCCCAGACCTTGCTGCCCTCAAGGTGAAGGGTGGCTCCTGCGGCCACAGCTGCCCTCTCTTGCCACACATTCCTCTTCCTCATGTTCATGTGTTTGCCTGAGCACGCATGTGGAGCAATGTGTCAGCGTGGACAATGCCTAGTGCCCTGTCCTGACACTCAGAGCCCTTTGCGCCAGCACAGCAGGGAATCTGCTAGACCTGTGCCAGGCAGCTCCGGTGCCCGGGAGCTGGCAGGTGCCTACACTGTAGGAGAAGAGGTGGTGATGGATGGGGGTGTCTGGGAGATCCATGGGGAGTAGTCTCCAGGAAGAGATGTTTTCTCCAGCTGCCTCACTGCCTGCCTTCACTTGCCTGCCTCACTGCTGCTCCTGTTTGAAAGCCAAGGAAAAAAACTCTCAAGGAAACCTGTGTGCTGAGAGTGGGGTGAGCTGCAGGAGCAAGTGCATAAAAAGTCCATTATTTTCTTTGCCACATGATTTACTTCTCCACTTAGGAAGTAAAAATGGGACTTCAGAGCTGATATTTTAAAAGGTTGTTTTTAATGTGGCTCCTGAGTGCTTCCAGTGTCATCTAACAGCTTTACAATTGTAAGCTGAATCACATAAATGAAGGACAGACAAAACTAAGAATTCCTGTAGTCCCTACAGACAGACTCTTCCAGACCTGAGAGATGCAGAACAACCTTGTGTTCATGCTTGCAAGTGCAGCTGAGCTTCAGGATTTTACTCTGACCTGATCCAGCCAGCACTGGTCAGACAGCAGCACTTTAACAACACAAATGCAACTTTTCAGTTTCTATGATCAGGCTACGTGGTCACTACCATTAAGTGCAAGTATTCCCAGTATAGCACTAAATTACTGGTGGGCCAGAGTGAGACTGTTGCTCTAGTCAGGTTCACCTGCCCCTTGCTGCAACACCAGGAGCCCCCTGGTCTGCTATAGATCAATATTGCCTCAGGGCCGTGGTGATGGGAGTAACAGCATCTCTGTGCTGGGACTGTAACCAGTTCTCTGGAGAGGTTGTAGGGACCTGCTGGGAACTTGTATGCAATTTCCATCCCTAGAACGTTTCAAAACTAGGTACAACCCTGAACACCACTATCTATCTTCACACTTCATTTTGCCTTGAGTAGGAGGCTGGACTAGATGATTTCCAGAAGTCCCTTCTACTCTAATTTTTCTCCCCAGGATTTTGAGCCTATAACTAAAAGGAGAGCAGATCAAGCTGTCTGTGTAAACACTGCAGAGCCTGCTGGGGGCTGGGCCAGGCCTTCGGGCAAGAAGGGGGAGCAGCCCAGGCAGGTGTGGGCAGGGCTCTGCCTGCTCTGTGGCTGGTGCCTGGGCAGGAGCAGGAGCCGAGCTGGCATGGCCGTAGCTGCAGGGCTGTTTCTGGTGAGTTCACCAGGGCTTGTCCTGAGTGTAGTGCAGGTGTCCAGCCAATACTGGCTCTGGTGAACAGGCAGGAGGTGTCTGATCCAGGCTGAAACCTGCCAATATGAACTTTATCTGCAAAAATCCATTATTCATGGATTTGCACCAGCATCATGTGTTTGTAGGAGATCTGACTTTTGCAAGAAATGATGTTGGGATTTTAATAAAATATTGGAAAACCTACAGTCTGATTTATCCTATGGTTAGACCACAGGCATGGGGTCAAGGGGGATGTCTGCATGGTCAGAGCTGTCACCAAGCAGGAGCTGCCTTACGGGGTAGTCAGTTCCCATGAGGACAGTATGAGGGTAGGCAATAGCAGTAATGGTATAATTGCCTGTGCTGGGACTGAAAGTGCTGCCTGGAAGCTGCCTGTTTTTTGCAGAAGGTGACCACAGAGGTCTGTTGCCAGCCTGGCACAACCAAGTGAGTCATTGCTGAAGCCAACCCTGCCCACATGGAGATGTGAGCAGATGCTCGGGCCAGTGCATTGCTCAGCTGCTCCTGGCCACATTTGTTTGCAAGACCACCCTGCATATAGTCTCACAGAAGTTGTTGTGAAGAGTTTTTTATTCCAAGTGGCTGGTGGGCTTATGCTTTCCTCTGTTACAGGTAGTGATGCTAAGGCTGCTGGGCAGTTCCAGACAGATGGCTGCCATCCAGGGGCTGGGGACACTCGGAGGCATCAGAGGGGACGTGCAGAACACCGTAGACACACCATCACCAATGGCATGGACTTCAGCATGGTAAGGGGATGGCCCTGTTGTGGGCTACAGAGAAGGGGCTGGGGGTCCCTGGGGGAAGGTGGATTGCAGGGGTCCCTCACTGCTGACACCAGATCTGTGTGGGCAGTGGCTTCCCAGTGTGCACTCTGCATGAGTGAGCCTTGGGGTGTCAGGCAGATCCTGTTAGTTTGGATACAAAGCAGGAGGTCCTGCCATTGCTTCTGAGGTGATTTCTGACCCAAATCTTGTTGGACAGGGAGGAGGCACGTGTGCCTCTGCCTGGCCCCAGAGCAGGGCAGCCCATGGAGCCACTGTTTGACTGCAAAGGTGCCTTCCCTGTGGGCAAAAACTTGGGCAGGGAAAGGCAGACGTGGGTGCAGGAACAGGGTCTCTGGGCCTTCCAAGCACTCCAGTGAAGGTCAGGCACACTGCGTGCTGGGAAGCAGTGGGGCTGGGCTATGGTCCCTGCCAGATGTTCTCTGTAGGTCCAGCTCAAGCATCGTGATCCTCCTAGCTCCCAAGAAACTTTTTGCCAATAATGCAGATAAATTAGCATTTAATTTACCTGGGTGACCCAGGATGGAGGGATCAGCTGCTCTCTCTCTGTCCCTGATTGGAAATGCTTGGATCACATTGGCTGGATGAAGGGATCTGCACTGCTCCCAAGCTGCCTGGACATGTAACCCACAAGCTCTATGTAAATTATCCTGGGAAGAGAGCCAGGATAGCCTGCAGAATGAGTGATCTGCAGGACGAGTGCTGGCTGGTGTCAGTGCTGCAGCTGAGGCTGACTATCACCTCTGCACTTCCACTCCTCACATCCTGGTGTCACCCTGGTGTCACCCTGTGCCTCAACAGCAGGGCTGAGTGGTGGCTTGGGCAGCATCGATGCCAGCCTGGTGCTGGCTTTGGGGGACATGACATGCTCCGATGTCTGGCCTGGGGAGGGGGGTTGTGCACACATGGTTTGCTGGGCTTACAGCCATGCAAGGGGTGGAGTGCTCTTGGACTCTAAGCAAGGAGTAATACATGTAGATGTATGTATCTGGGGATGGTGGTCTCTGGTCCTCGGGATTTTGGTGGCTGGGAGTTGCTGTTTCAGGGAGGGGAAGGCCCCTCCTTCCCTGGCAAGGCTCCCTGTGGGTGCAGCTCCAGGCTGAGCCCATCACTGTCCCAAGCTCAAAGTCTTGCCTGGCACTGGAGGGGCTGGTGGCCTGTGTGTCACACTGAGAGACAGGAGGAGTCCTGGCATAAAGGGGATGGTGGGGGGGTTGAGAGGCTTCAGGGCTGGCCATGGGGATGGGGAAGTGCTGCGGCCTGAAGAAGCTCTTGGTATGGTCTCTCTCGTCCCTGGGGTGGGGATCTGTTCAGGGTCACTTCTGAGCTGAATCACCCCTTCCCAGCTCTCCCACAAGCTGTCTTGCTCTGGCCTAGTGTTTCCCTTGCCTCTGTTTCTCCAGGTTGTTGTGGGGGCAGTGGGAGGCAGATTCTCTGCCTTTCTTCCGCCCTCCCCGTGTACCAAGTGCTGCCTTCCACGTGCTCCTGCCCTTAGAGAACAGGTGCCTGTCCCCATTCTGCAGGCAGGGAACCTTCCCTGGCACCCTGGCCTTTGGGTACTCATTGCACTTCTGAGCATAGAGAGATAGCTGGAGCAGGCTTGACTGCAGCAACAACTGAATCCCTGTGCAGGACATTGCTGTCACCTTCCCCCGATGCTGCGATAGTGTTATGCCCTGCAGAGACAAGTCAATCAGCTGTGATGAGGATAATTTGTCTAAAGCCAGGGAGGGGGATGGCTGGGAGTGGGTGCACTGTCCATCCTTCATCCCCAGGTTCATCCTAAGCAGCAAAGTGGAGGTGGGGGCTGTGCTGCAGTGCTGGAACCCTCTGCACCACCATGGCTCCTGTCTGCTGGTGTTTTTCAGCCAGTCCGTCATCGATCGGCCTGATTTCCCTATGGCCACAGGGAGTGGCTGGGATGAGACCTTCTGTGAGAGGCTGAGCCCAGGGTATGGCACTGTTCCCTCCCTTTCTACCCTGGGTAGCACCAGTCAAGTCCAGCACTCTGCCTTCCTCCTGCTCCAGAACCTGCCTCTGTCCCCAGAGCGTCCTGTCCTTGGCCAGATGCCATCTGTCCCTACACTCAGCAGCGCTGGTGAGGTCCTGCTGCTCTGTGAGATGCTGCCTCTTCCTTCAGCCACCATGCTGGCCAGCAAGCCTGGTGGGACCAGGCCAGGCCAGGCAGTGGTGGGCTGCAGCCCCAGCTGGGTGGGGGTCCTTGCTACATACAGCACCTTCTTTGTGCCCTCAGCAACAGCCTGTGTAGCAGCAAAGCTCTGCGCTTCTTCCTGTGGGTATGTCTGTCTGTCCATCCAAGTATGGGGGCAGTTTTGGGGGAGGGCTGTCGTGTTGCAAACAGCATTTCCAGGAGCAGCAGGAGCATGAACAGCTTTGGGTAAGGGGGGCTGGTGGCTGGTGTAGGGAGGTTGGGTGGCTTTGGGGCTGGCCATGGGGACAGGGCAGTGTTGGCAGCCTGAGGAAGGTCTTGATATGGTCTCACTTGTCCCTCAGGGTGGGGATCTGTCCAAGGTCACTTCTGAGCTGAATCCTCCTCCCTCCAGATGCTGTTCAAAGCAGCAGGAGAGGTTCTGAGCACCCAGCAGCTTCTGGGTGATCAAAGTCCCACTGGTGCCTGCAGCCCAGTCTGTGCCCTGGGTGGTGGAGACCAGGCAGAGATGACAGAGGCAGCAGGGCAGGCAGCTCTGCTCTTGGCATGGAGAGAGGGGCAGGAGCTGTGGAGCAGGCAGGTATGGCTTGGGAGAAGGGGATTGGAAGCCCGGGCTCACTGGTGGAGGGCTGAGCTCCCTCACTGCACTAATCGCTCTTTCCCAGGGATGTCCCATCTTCTCTCCCCACCTCTGTGAATGCTGGTGGCAGCAGAGCAGGGGACCCTGTGTCCCTAGGACACAGATCCCCATCATGGAAGAATCAAGCCACCCTGCCCAGCCTTGTCTGTTCCACCATCTGGTGCAGGGTCCAGCTCTGCTTGTCCCAGGCGATGGGCTGGGGACTGGAACCTCACGCATGTGGCCTCGGAGCAGCTCCCCAGGTGCAAAAAGGTCCCTGCGTCCCTCTCCAGGTGATGCTGGTGCTTGAACCTGGAAGACTGTCAGGGACAGTCAGCAGCAAGGTGTGCTGTGCTCTGCTGAGCTGGGAGGTGAGGACAGAAGCTGAGGACAAAGCTGAGTGGGGAGCAGAGTCTTGGGGAATCAGAGCTGCAGGTTTCCCCCTGTTTCCAGCCTGCAGGTTTATCTTGGCTGCTGCTGAGAGCTGAGCTGTTTGTGCTGCTGGCTGGTGCTCACAGCCTTGAGGGGCTAAGGGAGCATCTGCAGGCTCTGCTCTTGCTGCATCCCCAGGTAAATACAAGGCATAAAAATCTGCTCCTGCAGTGGGAAGCAGGAGGGCAGAGGTGGCCTGACTGTCCTTCACCTGCTTTGGTTGTTCTCCCAAACTGGAGGACCCCTTCTCCAAAGCAGCATCTGGCAGGAGCTGTCATGCCTCTTCTCTGCAGCTTTTCATGGGGACAGGGGCCAAGACCCTGCCCATATCCATATTCCTCCACTCCTCATGCAGAAACCATCTCCTGGGCCTTGACCAGGCCTTGGTGGGGAGGGTGTTAACATCTCTGCATGCTCTGTCCTGCAGCTGAAGCACATGAAAGAGCTGGAACAGGAGAAGGATTTCCTGCTGCAGGGTCTGGAGCTCATAGAGCATGCCCGGGAGTGGTACCAACAGCACATCCAGTTCATGCAGGAGCGCCAGAGGCTCCTGGGGAGAAACAAAACCAGTGCTGTGAGTCTGGATCTTGTTCTTTGGGTGCCCATCTACTTCGGTGGGTCTTGGTCTGCCCTGTGGGTTTGGAGAACCAGCCTGGGACTTGGCTGGACCTGGAGCTGGCCCCATGGTAACACCCAGCCTCTTCTTCCTCCCTGTCCCTCAGGAATTCCTCTCTGAGGGTGGCCAGAGCCACGTGGGGTGCCTGGTCCCCAAGCTGCAGGAGGTGAACCGCTGCCTGGGTGACCTCCTTTCCACCGCCAGCAAGGTGAGAGCAGCAGATCAGCAGCTTGTGGTTGGTTGTGTGAGGTTGGGACCCATCTTGCCCTCTCTTACACTCGTGGCTGAGCTGGCATCAAAGCTGCTAGAGTTTCCTCAGGCTCTAGGAGAGGGTAACTTTGCTCTATGGGCAAGATAGTTGGATGGGGGAGGGTCAAGAGGACAGCACAGCTTGTCCTGAGCTGGACTGGAGGGTGCTCAAGGCATCCCCCAAAAAGATGTAGCCATTTACAAGGGAATAAGGAAAGCATGAGCCTGCTGAGTTGCTGAGTCGGCCCTCTCAAGAGCTGACCATCCTGCTGGGCTCCTGACAGGAGCTGAGCAC